CCCCATCTGTGCCTGCCCCAGATCTTCTTGGGCCCTGGGCAGTGTCCCCAGTGTGCACCTGCCTCCCCCACATCCCTGCCCGGTCCCCATCCTTGCTCCAGGTGCAACTGGAGCTGCCGCCGCTGGGCCCAGCAGCAGGAAGGCAGGTGTCAGCTCTGCACCCAGCCCCGTGGGGACAACATGAGCAAGGGACGCTGCCTGTCCCCCTGCCTGGCTCTGTCTCCCACATGTATAGACGTGAGTGGCCTGAGAAGAGAAGCCTCTTGGGGACACCCGCAGCCCTGCCCCTGCGCTCAGCGGGCCCCAGGCTGTGGACGTGGGGGCGGGGGAGCAAGGGGCTGCCTGCACAGCAGGGGCCCAGAGGGGGACCCCGGAGGGGGCGGTGCAGGCCATGCAGGGTCAGCCGACCAGGGTCGGAGCCACGAGTGCCTGGACGGCACCCTGGCCATTCTGCACAGGAGAAACCGAGTCCAGGAGGGGCCTGGCTCTCCTGGGGCCCTGGCGCCCCGCCCCTCCCTGGCCCTGGCGGCGGCCCCTGGCCGTGCCGGGTGCACACTCGGCTTCTCGCCCAATCTCAGTCTGCCTTTGTTCTCCCTGCTTCTCAAAAAGCAGCTGCCGGACGTGGGCTGGGGTCAGAGCCCTGGGGGCCTGGCGTGTGGGCGGGCAGGGGCCGCCCTGCTGTCCCGAGCATGGGCAGAGTGGGGGCTGCACGCCCCGCGGCCCCGACCGACACACGGCCAGCAGGACCAAGTTCTCCCAGGTCAGGACCGGCTTTCTCTGAGGACGGCAGAGGGCCGGGATGGGCACGGCCCCTGAGGTGGCGTCTGTGGCCAGGCGCTGGGGCCTGCGGTCGACCAGCCCAGGTTCATAACCCACCTGCCTCTTGCGGCTGGCAAGTGGCTTTGCCGCCCCCGTCCTAATCACACATCTGCACACACCACCCGCAAAAGTCGCCAGGGTGCTGGGCAGACCCTGTGCTCAGGAAGTGGCCTGAGGGCAGCGGCTCTCCTTGTCCTTCCCCATGCCTCTCCCCGGGCCCCCAGACTCCAGAGCCCCGGAGTGTCACATGTGGCCAGGGCCTCAGGGACACCCGTCTGCCCTGCTCTCTGCGGCCCAGGGGATGGCGACCCAGAGTCCCTCCGGTGACCGCGGTCCCTGCGCACCCTCGTGCAGGTGGAAGTGAAAGCCTGGCCTGGCATGGCTCCTCCTCACTTCCTGTCCTCCCCTGCGCCGCCCCAGCCCGTGCGGAGAGGCCTGACGCCCACTTCCCCAGACCCCGCTCGCCCGCCGCCCCACGAGGCGTTTCCTGCCTGCCACGTCCGCCCATGGGGCTCCCTGGGGCCCCCGGCTCCTGTTCCTCACCCCGAGAGTGGGGTCACGGAGGACGCGCCTCGCCCTGGCCCGTGCCTGCCGTCTGCCAGGGTCCTGGGGACACAGCCGGGCTCACGCTGGCCAGAGTGCCGAGAGGGACCCCCGGCGCCCAGCTCTGCCCATCCTCCCTGGTGACCTGAGCACTGTGACCTCAGCCGCCCTGTGAGATGCTGGTGGGGGTTTCCAGGCCCTTGGTGCTTTTGTCCTCGTTACAAACGCGACCGCACTCGCCCCCGATGCAGCTTCTGCTGGCATTCGGGCAGGTGTCCTGGTGGCATGTGGCCGACTCCCAGTGTGGCCACTTCCCACAGTGTTTTCCAACTTGTTTCACTGTGGCTACCCCCCAGGGGCCTTCCGTCCTGCTGCTGGACCCCGCAGGGGTCTGCCAGGGCCTCCTTGCGTGCGTGGGGGGTTGTCTCGGTGTGGGGGGGCTGGAGTGCTCCTTGGACGTGAGGCAGCCAGGGGACAGTGAGGACTCAGCCACCCCCTGGCCCTGCACGCTCACGCCCCGGACGGGTGTCCGGGGTGGACACACATTCCCACCCCCCAGGCTCCCCCACAGCCCCCTCCCTGGATCTGCCCGCAGCGGGAGGCCCAGCCTGGCGGGGAGGGTGGCACGCGCCAGGGCCGGGAGGAGGCCCCGTGGATAGGACGGGCTCAGCTCTGGGCCTCCCCCGCCCGCACAGCCTGGGCTACCCCGGCAGCCGCGAGGAGCGCGTGCTGTTCTGGGGATCCGGGTGTTGCCAGGCAGTGGAAAAATTTGGGCTCTTGGAGGAGCTAAAAATACTGTGTGGCAGCCCCTGCCTCCCGGTTCCGGAATCCCTCTCCTGCCGTTCTGCCCGCCCACCCGCTGGAAGACAGGCTCCGCCCGCGCACCTGCCCTGGGCCCACGCCGGCTGGCGGGCCGCCCCAGAGCTGCCGTCCGTCCTGCCGTGGCCCCTCGGTGCTGCGTGCCCAGCCTGCGTCTGACCCACCCCATCCCCTTGGGGTCCCCCAGGCCCCAGGCAGTCTTACGGCCTAACGGGGGCAGAGCCCCAGAAGGCAGCACCCCAAGGTGCCAGGCTCAGTGTCGGGCTCCTTGTGGGAGCCGGGACCCTGGGGCGACCACCTTACCTAACAAGGGGTGCACGGGGTGGGGGGGCAGCCACCCAACGTGTCACTGGGGCCTCTGGGCCCAGTCGAGCCTGCCGAGGGACTGGACAGAGGGCTAGACCCTCAGCGCTGGCTCCCGGAGGCCAGTGGCCCTCAGTCCTCCCTGACGGATGGGAGAGCTGGACCTGGGCCGACGAGAGCCCGGGATGCGGACCTGGGCACGCCACCTCCCGGTCCGGCCGTGGACCCTGTGCAGGGCCCCCCCGCAGCTGTGCACAGCCTGTGCCCGGGCCCACCAGGAGCCCACCCTCCCTGGCCCAGTGTCTCTGCCTGCACGGCGGGGGCTGGGCAGGTGGTCTCTGAGGTCTGGTGGGGGCCGCTTTGGCCCTGCCCCCCCAGCTTGACAGGCGACTCCCAGGTAGGGGCGGTGGCTCCGCGTGAGTCAGCGCAGCCGCCCTGGCGTGTGGGTGCCGGTGTCGCCAGGCTGGGCTGCCGGGCGCAGGTGGGGAGGGCGGCCGGGCGGTGCTGAGGAGCTGCCCTCTGAGGACTGGGCCTGCGTCCCCTCCCCTCCAGGGCCTCCGGCAGCCCCCGCGGTGCAGGGTCGGCTGAGTGCTCAGAAGGGTGGGCTGGCCCCGTGCACACCCCAGGGAGACCCGGCCTGCGGGGGCCCCTGTCTGGGGGAAGGCATGGGCCTGTCCCAGTGGAAACCCCACAGGCCAGGCAACACCCCGCTCATGGTTGGGGGGCGAGCCCCACAGCTTCAGGGTCTTCATCACAAAATGCCCCACCCCTGTAGTCGTCCCCTTGGTGCTGGGGCGCGGGGGTGTTGAAGCCCGGGGTGGGGATGGCAGGTGGGGATTCTTCCTGGCCTCCTGACCCTTCAGCTGCCCAGGGGGTGGGGTCTGGCCCAGGGGGTGGGGTCTGGCCCAGGGGGTGGGGTCTGGCCCAGGGGGTGGGGTTTGGCCGGAGCCTTGGGCCCTACAGAGCGCAAAGCTCTGAAGCTCAAAAACTCCTGTGCCTGTGTCCCCCCCCCCCCGCCCTGGGGAGGACACTCCCGCAGCCAGGGTGGGGGACTCTGATGACACCTCCCTGCACGCTGGGCTGTCCCGCTGAGGCCCCGCCCTATGCCACGCCCCCTGGCAGAGCCAGAGGGGGAAGGGCCTGGCATGTGTCCACAGTCGGCCCTGAGCACTCGCTCCTGAGCACTTGCTCTACGGTTCCGTCTGTGGGGTCTCCTTGCAACTGCCTTTGCAGATGGAGAACAGAGAGGCAGAGTAACTTGCCCCTGGGCACACAGCCAGTAAGCCCAGGAGTGAGGCTCCCGCCACCCCTGGCGTTGGTGCCCCTGCCCTGTGCTCCTGAGGGCAGTAAGCTGTGGACCCCGCAACCTGCGGTCCTGGCAGAAACGCACAACCAGCGCTTGGCCGCCTGTAGTCAGAGTGGAGCCTGCGCTGGCGAGGCCGCCGCTGGGCTTGGCAGAGCCCGCAGGCAGCGAGACAGCATAGTTTATTGCGTGTGCGTGTCTGTGTGTGTGTGTCTGTTTACACCTTCTCTCTGTACACACGGAAAGGTTTTTGTAGACAAGGAAGGCTGGCGACGCCCCGACGGGGGCTGCTGGCCGGGCTGGGGGGCCGGCTGGAAGTGGGCTCCCGTGAGACAGGTTGGGGCACACAGTTGACTCTGTCCGCTTGTCCTAGTTGGAAGCAGGGACAGGAGTTACGGAAGCGGCCAGTGATTAACCAGGTCCAGCTGTCTGGGGCCGATTGCTTTGGCTTCCCGCATGGTTGCCGCAGGTTGTGGTCAGCGTCTGTCTCTCTGTGCGGTCTGGCCGTTGTCCCTGTGGTGTTCAGTGTCTCATCCCGACGGGCAGTGGGGGCGTCTCTAGGGGGGCGTCCGGCACAGGCCTGGCCGGGTGGGCATCACGGAGGGAGGAGGGCAGCTCTGGCCTCGGCCTCAGGGGCCCCCACCTCGCACACTCTCCCAGCAGGACACGAGCTCAGCCGAGCCCTGCACCCCACGCTCCCCACAGACAGCGCCCAGCGGGGCACGGCCCCAGGACGCTGAGCACACGCCAGGAAACCGGGCACAGGACCCTGCCAGGCCAGGGACCTACTGCTGTGACTCCACTCCTCCCCATGCCCCCAGACCAAGGGGGCTGCTGTGGACTGGGGTCTTCCCAGGAGTGAGCCTGTAGCCCTGGGGACCGGGGTGTGCCCAGGGCAGGGAGGGCAGGGCAGTGCCAAGGGGGCCAGTGCTCAGACAAGCAAGCCCCTGTGTGTCCGGGGGATCCGGAAATCTGGGGTACAGCGACTCAAGGCCACGCCCCTTGTCTCCGAAAGGTCAGGGTTTGTGCATGGAGGGACCCCTGGGGCTCTTGGCCGAAGAGGACACTTTGGATGCCAGAGGCCTGGCCTGGGAGAGTTCGTGCTCCGTCTTCTCAGCCTGCGCCAGGGACTCCGGCCAACGGAGGCGGGGAGGGAGGGTCAGTTCTGGGTGCCTCTTTAGGCAGCAGCACCCAGGGTGGGTGGGAGAGCGCGGAGGCCTGTCTGCCTTGCTGCGCATGGTGTCAGGAGCAACCCTCCCCCACCACTTCGGGGGGCTTTGGGGACCCGAGGCTGCCTGAGTGGGGGCGGGTCACGGTCAGCAGTGATGAAAAGCCAGGAGGAGGCCGGCAGCCCGAGATGGGGCCCAGAGTGGGTGGGCAGAGGCAGCCGGAAGGCCTTACACATCTGGGTGAGTGGACGCCGAGAGGGCCGGGCCTGGGAGGGTGGGTAAAACCATGGGGTGGAAGGGACTCTGGGCTCTCCGCCCTGCTAGTGCCAGGGGAGGGCAGACAACCCACCCGGTTGCAGGCAGGCGAGGGGCGCCCACAGCCTCCCAGGTGCTCCCAGCAGCCTGATGCTGGAGGTGCAGGTGAGGGAGCTGCGGCTCAGACACAAGTGACTCCACTAAGGTCTGTGGGTCCCCATGTGGGCCAGAGGTCCCACCACCTATCAGGCTGCTTCCCAGAGGATCCTGCTGGCCTCGCAGGGCACTGGACAGGTGGGGCGGGGGCTGGACGGCCTGAAACTCCAGGCTGGGCCCCTGTGTGGCAGGCGGGGTACGGGGCCCAGGAGCTGCAGGGGCAGGTGCTCCACGACACCCCCATGGTGGAGGAGCGGATGGGGCCTCCAAGGTGAGGATGGCAGGTGCTGGGACCACAGCCACCTTGGGAGACAGGCCTAGGCGCCTGTCCTCACTCAGCCTCCGGATCCCGTGTGACCCCAGCAGCCCCTTGTCCTGTGTCCAGGCTGGGCAGCACTTGGGGTGACGCTGTGCTGGCCGTCTGGCACATAGGGCTCCGGAGCTGCCCGCTGGGGTCCAGCCACGCTCTGCTGTTCCAGCTGTGGCACCTGGGCACAGCCTGGCTGCGCTGGGAGCTGCTTCCCCACCGGGCAGCCGGCACAGAAACTGCCTCTCGAGCCGTGGGCGCCGGCTGCAGTGCCGGGGCTGGACTAAGTGGAGCTCAGTGTTGCCACGACCCTGCCCGGCCGTTTTCAGCGCTAAATATAAGGTCCACGCCATACATGGTCGCAGGAGGGCCTGGGATGCCCCTGACCTTTGAGGCGAGTCCCCAGGGGCTGTGGCTGGGCACAGTGTCCCAGTCCGCTGGGCCCAGGGCGGGGGACTTGGTGGGTGTGGAGAGGACAGCAGAGGTGCAGCCGCCGGCTATTCTGCTCTGGGGAGAGGCGTCGGGGCAAGGCGCGGGGGGGGGGGGGTACTTCTGGGCCAGGCCTCCCCCCGGCCTTCCAGAGGGGTCCGGGGGGGGGGGGGGGGGGGGTACTTCTGGGCCAGGCCTCCCCCCGGCCTTCCAGAGGGGTCCGGGCTGAATCCCGGTAGAACTCCGAGGGCTGAGGTCTCGGTTGTCTGTCTGTCCACTGCGCACAGGCAGACACACTGACGCACAGGGAAGAGCCGGGCTGGCCGGGCTGCCTGGGGGGCATTCCATGCCCAGCGGCCCTCCAGGTGGCTCCTGGGTCCCAGCTCGCTCCTGGGCCCCAGCTCGCTCCTGGCACTGTGGGCAGCCCAGGAAGTGCCTGGGGGTTGGGCTCTCCCTGCCACTTGCCCCATCTGACCCTGCCCGCTGGGGCAGGGGAAGCAGCCTGGGGGCGAGATAAGGACCCTTTCTGTGGCCTCATCACCACTGGCTCGAGGCCGCTGCCCTCCAGGCCTCTGCAGCCCACCCAGGTCTGGTCTGTGCACAGCCCGGCCTCGGCTTCAGGCCTCTCCGGGTCCTCGTGCGTGCAGTGGGGACCTTGCTGCCCACACCCCTGGGCGCCATGGCGATTCAGTCAGGGATGGGCACGGGGGAGGCCCAGGAGCTTTGCAGCCCTCGTCAGGGCAAGGGACAGAGTGCCACTGTGACCTGTCAGCACGGCCCGTCGCCCGAGCAGGAAGTGCGACTGAGAAACGGGCCGGGGACTGTGCCCCACCTGCCGCCGGTGCCAGGCTGGCGTGGTCTCCATCCCTGCCCCAGCCGCTGACGACGGCTCTTCTCCCCCGGCCCTGCAGCTCGGCAAGATGTCGGTGAGGGAGGGCGCCCAGCGCAAGTGGGCGGCGCTGAAGGAGAAGCTGGGGCCGCAGGACTCGGACCCCACGGAGGCCAACCTGGAGAGCGCCGACCCCGAGCTGTGCATCCGGCTGCTGCAGATGCCCTCCGTGGTCAACTACTCCGGCCTGCGCAAGCGGCTGGAGAGCAGCGACGGCGGCTGGATGGTGCAGTTCCTGGAGCAGAGCGGCCTGGACCTGCTGCTGGAGGCGCTGGCGCGGCTGTCGGGCCGCGGGGTGGCGCGCATCGCGGACGCCCTGCTGCAGCTCACCTGCATAAGCTGCGTGCGCGCCGTCATGAACTCGCCGCGGGGCATCGAGTACATCCTCAGCAACCCCGCCTACGCGCGCCAGCTCTCTCTCGGTGAGCCTCCCGGCCCACGGGCAGGAGTCAGGGCCCGGGGGTGGTCCGGGCAGGGAGGGCTTCCCGGGGTCGCATCTGAGCCCCGGTCACCGTGGGCACCGCACCGGCTGCACCTGCTGTCCCCTCAGTCCGGTGACTCCAGCCACCCTCTCGCCGGCCCTGTGCTGGTCCAGGCCCTCGTCCGCGCCGTGGCAGCTGGAGCCACCTGGTCAAAATCACAGGTCCCCCAGTGGCTCCCGCCTCCCCTCTGCCTGGCTCCCAGCCCTGACCCCAGCCCAGCCACAGCGCTCCAGGTCTGGCCCAAACCTGCTGGAGGCGTCCTCCTCCACCTGCTGGCACCTTCCCCAGCTCCCCCTTCCTACCCAGTCCCCTGCCCTGGGACCTGGGGGCTTCTTCCCCAGCAGCGGGCCCTGCCCAGGTTGCTCTCTGAATGCTTCCAGGGTCTTACTCATCCTTTCAGTGCCAGCTCATTGCCACCTCCTCCAGGAAGTCTCTCTGGGTTGTGCTCAGTCCTGACCCTTTGGGAGAGACCCTTGCCCACCATGCTGGACTGCTCCATGGCAACAACTGGTTTCCCTGACCCTTGGGGCTCCAGGACCAGCTGGGGGTGGCAGTGATGGGTGCAGCCAGGCCCATGGGGGCAGCAGGTGCCTCCATGAGTGAGCCAGAGGCCGCCTCATTTGTGTCCAACCCAGGGGCCTGGACACAAATCCAGGACACAGTCCTCTGTGACTGTTCTCAGTGGGGCTACATGACAGATACCCAAGTCTTTCACAGCCTGGTGGATGGGGTGGGAGGCGGGGCCTTGTGGGCGCAAGGAGGCATCCCAGGTTCTGTCTGCAGTAAACACAGACGGGGCTGAGATTGGGAACAACGTGGGCCCGCAGCCAGGGACGGGAGTAGCTGGGCCAGCTCAGCAGACCCCGAAATGCCTGGGGGTGCCCCGGCTCCAGGCCCTTCCCTGTGGTCCAGGAGCGGGTTGGGCACGGGGAGAGGACAGCACGGCAGGGCCTCGCCCCTTGCCCAGCGCCCGACGTGGGCTTGGGGCGCGCGGAGCAGCCCTGGCGTCTGCCCTGAGCCCGGCCGCACGGCCGTGGGGCAAGGGCAGACGGTGGGCCCGGCTGAGACCCGCGTGCCCCCGGCAGCCCTGGACACGTCCAACGTGATGGTGAAGAAGCAGGTGTTCGAGCTGCTGGCCGCCCTGTGCATCTACTCTCCCGAGGGCCACGCCCTCACCCTGGACGCCCTCGACCACTACAAGGTGAGCGGCGGCACCGCCGGGCGGGCCGGGGCTCCCACCTGGGCGCGCCCTGACCCCTCCTCCCCGCAGACCGTGTGCAGCCAGCAGTACCGCTTTAGCGTCATCATGAGCGAGCTCTCCGACAGCGACAACGTGCCTTACGTCGTCACCCTGCTCAGCGTGATCAACGCCGTCATCCTGGGCCCCGAGGACCTGCGCACGCGCACCCAGCTGCGGAGCGAGTTTGTCGGTAACCACCCCCCGCCGGGGCCCTGCGCTGCCCGGGCCGCCCGGGAGCCCCTCCTGCCAGCCGGAGCCCGGCAGACCTTTCCCAGGGCCTCCTGGGCCAGCCCCACCCAAGCTGCATCCCCCCGGGAAGCTGGGGCCCCACAGAACCTGCCCCTGTCCCCCCTACCCCGGGTCCCAGAGGAAGGCGCCGGCTCACCAGGCCTGGGGAGCCTCCTGCCACCAGCTGCCCCTTCGGTGGACACAGGCTCAGAGCACCTGGGCGTCAGCCCAGACAGTTCCCAGTTGCAAGGCTGGCGGGGGGTGTAGGGGTGCAGGCCGTGTGACCCCCACATCCAGCCCTGCCCATCCTGCTGTGACCAAGCCCCACTGTGTGCCCGGCCCAGTGTCACCCCTCCAGAGCCTCACGTCCCTGGAGTCCCACAGGAGAAGCAGAGCAGGGCTGGGTGCCCCGGGTGGCAGAAGTCAGCGGGGTGTGGAGGCAGGGTGCGAGATGCAGGTGACCCTGGGGCAGGCAGGGGTGGCCAGAGGCAGCCTCTGCGCCCTTCTGAGTCTGTCTGTCCTGTCCCAGGGCTGCAGCTGCTGGACATCCTGACCCGGCTGCGGTGAGTGGCCACAGTGCCCGGTCCTGCCACTGCCCTTTTGCTGCTCCCCAAAGCCAGGCTCACCTGCCCCTTGGGTCCCAGTCACCTCCCCAGCCAGCACCTCCAGATGGCAGGGAGGTGGCCCCCAGACAGCCCATTGGGTCCACTCTGAGGCCAACTCTCAGGCTAGAACCTGGCTCACTGTCCCCAGCAGCTGCCCGTGGGAATGGGGGTTGCCAGGTGCAGGACGGGGTATCTGTCAGTTTAGGTTTCAGTGCGAGTATGTCTCAGATATTCCATGGGATATACTTATGCCAAAAACAATTCATTGCTTATCTGAAATTCAAATGTAATTGGTGCCCTGTCGTATTCGCTAATCTGACAGCCCTGCTGGGAATCCAGCTAGCTGAGAAACCCTGTCCTGGGCCTCAGTCAGGACCGCACTCAGGGAGGGGTCCCCGCCCCAGAGAAGTCAGCTCAGAGGAACCCAGGACTGGTGTGACTGGTGTTGAACTGGCCTTGGGCACAGTTTTACCAAGTGGGTGCTTTGTGCCCCACCCGTGCCCGGCTGGGGGCTCATTGGCCAGGCTGAGATGACTGGCAAGTCCTAGACCCAGTGAATACTCAAGCCCCTCTGACAGAGCTCTGCCCCTCCCTGTGTCCAGGCGGCCGTGGTTGTCTCGGACGTGGTCTGATCATGCCCTCCTGGCACCCAGAGGGGGGCCTTCCCTCCCTGGCACTCCGCCCGGGACCCCCTCCCTGGGCCTGGGTGTGCACATCTTTTGGTGGAAGTGGGGGAGCCTGACCTTCCCCAAGGGGGGTGGAGCGGCCCCGTGGCCTGGCGGCCCCGCAGGGGAATGAGCCCGCCACTCTCCCAGGCTCCATCCCTGGCCTCACTCGGGGTCTGCAGTGGCAGAATTGCCGGGGCTGCCCCCACCTGTCGGGAGTGGGGTGAGTGGGGGCAGCACGCTCAGCCGCTCCCCACCTCAGAGACCTGGAGGACGCCGACCTGCTGATCCAGCTAGAGGCCTTCGAGGAGGCCAAGGCCGAGGACGAAGAGGAGCTGCTGCACGTGTGCGGCGGGGTCAACATGAACAGCCACCAGGAGGTCTTCGCCTCCCTGTTCCACAAGGTGGGCCTGGCTGGGGGGCGGACGCACGCGCCACCAGGGTGGCCTGTCGCCGAGGTCCAGGGCTGGGAATGGCCCCATTGGCCCTGGCCCAGCCCGCCATGACGTGGCCAGTCCCCGCAGGGTGGGGCGCCACGCTGGGCCATGGGCAGAGCTGGGTTTGCAGGACCTAGAAAGACAGGGCTCCAAAGGCCAGGGCTGCCCAGAGCTGGCCTTTGTCCTACGCCCCAGGTGGCCAGTCCCTATCAGGTAGACTCTGGGGGTGTGGGGCCAGGAGGCAGAGTTTCCATGGAGCTCAGGCCCCGCCTTTCATTCTCTGAGCTGGTGGCTCAGCTGAGAAGACGTTTTTGCTTGTCAGTACTGGGCGGGGGGTGCTACTGGCACTGAGTTGGTGAAGACAGGGATGCTGTTTACATCCCATAGTGCACAAGACAGTCCCAATGTCACCAGTGCCACGGGCTCTGATACTGTCGCCACCAGGGCTCCCATGAGGCATGGGGGGTGATGGGGTGGACGCCCCCAGCAGACAGGCCCGCAGTCTTCAGCCCACCTGGGCAGGGACAGCTGCTGACCCACCCCCACCTGCCTCCCCAGGTGAGCTGCTCCCCGGCGTCCACCCAGCTGCTGTCCATGCTGCAGGGCCTCCTGCACCTGGAACCCACCCACCGTTCCAGCCAGCTGCTCTGGGAGGCCTTGGAGAGCCTGGTGAACCGGGCCGTGCTCCTGGCCAGTGACGGTGAGGGGGCAGGGGACGGGGGTGCGGGCTGGTGGACAGACAGGAGTCTTAGACCATTGCGGGGGCCGTCCTTGGCCTTTCATGCATCCTCTGCCCAAGGGGGATGGCCGCCCCTTCCCTGCCTGTCCCTCCAGCCCACGTCCCTTTCTTTCGGTCCCCTCCTCTGGCCCTCTCCCTTGACCCTGGACGTCCCCCACCGCAGCCCAGGAATGCACCCTGGAGGAGGTGGTCGAGCGGCTCCTGTCCGTCAAGGGGCGGCTCCGACCAAGCCCCCTGGACAAGGCCCACAAGAGCGTCCAGGCCGACCTAGGCCAGGGTCAGAGGGGCAGCTCCCCTGAAAACGGCACTGCCCCCGAGGCCAGCGTGGAAGGCCAGCAGCCCGCAGTGGCCCAGGCTTGGCAGCTGGTGGGCAGCAACCAGAGAGAGAGTGGCGGGGAAGCCCCACAGCCAAGAGCCCTGGAGCAGCGGACACCCGCCCCACCCCCACCGGCACCCCCCCTCCCCAGCTCTACCACGGGGGCCCCTCCCCCTTCCCTTCCACCCCTACCAGGCCTGGGGGCCACGTCCCCCCCAGCACCCCCTCCCCCACCCCCACAGTCAGGCCAGGGGGCCATTCCCCCTCCAGCACCCCCTCCCCCACCCCCACTGCCAGGCCTGAGGGCCATGGCCCCCCCAGCACCCCCTCCCCCACCTCCACCCCTGCCAGGCTCCTGTGGGCTCTTGCCCCCACTGCCTCCACCACTCCCGGGCATGGGGTGCCCACCCCCACCCCCACTTCCTGGAGCAGGCTGGGGCCCCCCTCCACCTCCACCCCTGCCCGGCCTCCCTGGCCCTCCCGCAGTGGACAGCGTGGAGGAGGTCATCGTGGCCCAGGTGGACCACAGCCTGGGCTCGGCCTGGGTGCCCAGCCACAGGCGGGTGAACCCGCCCACGCTGCGCATGAAGAAGCTGAACTGGCAGAAGCTGCCGTCCAAGGTGGCTCGTGGTGAGGGTCCCTAGACCCCCGAGGGAGACCCCCCTGAGGACGGGGACAGCTGTGCTGGGGTGGCTATGGCGTGCGTGTCCCGGCCAGGGAGCGGCCAGGGCAGCCTGGGCCTGCTCTTGGCTCAGCGCCTGCGTGGTCCGGGGTGGGGCTGCTTCAAGCCCGGGATCCGCTCGGCGCCCCTGCGCTGCCCGGGCCCCTCGGCGCCCTGCTCAGGGAAGGCCACGGCCAGCTAGCAGCCGGGCGGCCTGCGCACGGACACAGGCACCGGGGCGTCCCGAGCTGGAGTGCTTGCTGTGTGCCGGCCCCAGCTGGCCCCAGGCAGGGCGTCCTTGACAGCCTGCGGGAGCCCCAGGCCCGTCCCCTGCTCCCGAGCCCGCCCTGGGGAGGCTGAGGCCATGCCCGCGCCCCTCCCTGCAGAGGGCAACTCCATGTGGGCGGCGCTGGGCAGTCCGGACGCCGAGGCGGTGGAGCCCGACTTCTCCAGCATCGAGCGGCTCTTCTCCTTCCCCGTGGCCAAGCCCAGGGAGCCGGCCGCTGCCGCCCCCGCCAGGAAGGAGCCCAAGGAGGTGGGACGGGGGCGGGGAGGGGCACAGACCCGGGTGGCCTGCCCTGCCCGTCCTGGTACCAGCGCGCTGGGTGCGGGTTTTCCAGATCACGTTCCTCGACGCCAAGAAGAGCCTGAATCTCAACATCTTCCTGAAGCAGTTTAAGTGGTGAGAGAGAGACGCCCCAGCCATCCCCTCAACACACACCGCCCGCCACTGCCTCCCCGGCTGGCAGTGCCCTCTGCAGGCCGCCGCGGGAAGTGCATGTCCCATCCCCAGGGCGGGAGGCAGGCTGCCCCCCAGGGGCCCGAGAGACCACCCAGCCCAGCCTTCTGGGCAGGACCCAGTGGTCAGCTGGGGACCTTCCCCGAGGCCACACACAAGCAGCAGCCCCTGACGCCAGTGCCCAGTCCTGCCCTGCTGCAGGCGGCTGTCTGGGGCTCTGGCCGTGCCGTCTGCTGAGCAGCCCCCTCCTCCCCGCCCCAGCTCCAACGAGGAGGTCACCGGGATGATCCGGGCCGGGGACACCACCAAGTTCGACGTGGAGGTTCTCAAACAGCTCCTCAAGCTCCTTCCGGAGAAGCACGAGGTGAGCCGGGACCCCCGCCAACCAGCGGAGATCAGGATGGGCAGGGGCAGTCCCTGGGGGCTCCCAGCTGGGGCACCGAAGGGAGGGGTCCCAGCCCCGCCCCTGCCCTGAGCTGCACCGCAGGGAGCAGAGCTGCACGTGGCCGGGCAGAGGCAACAGGCAGTCCGGGAGGGCTTCCCGAGGGAGGGCGGGAAGCTGGCGTGTGGCGGGGTCCTCCACGCGGGCCTCCTCCCTGCAGATTGAGAACCTGCGGGCGTTCGGAGAGGACCGAGCCAGGCTGGCCAACGCCGACCAGTTCTACCTGCTGCTGCTGGGCATCCCCTGGTGAGCACGGCAGCAGCCCCCGCACCCAGGCCGGCCTTGGGGAGGCGCAGAGGGAGGGGCTCCCCCATCCGAAACCACAATCATCCGGTTTCCAGACTTGGCTCGTGCCCCACCTGCTGGCCCTCGTCTTCAGAGAGCAGAGCTGCAGGGGGGGGGGCCGAAGGGAGGAGCTCGCTCCTCTGGGGCTGCCCCCCGTGCTTTGAGTAGACCAGGGACCGCCTGCCCCCCCACCACCACCACAGCGATGGATCTGTAGGCTTAGCCCCACACGGCAGGCGGGCGGGGGTGGCTCCCGACCCCTGACCTCGGCTCTGCCGTCCCTAGCTACCAGCTGCGGGTCGAGTGCATGCTGCTGTGCGAGGGTACAGCCGTCGTGCTGGACATGGTGCGGCCCAAGGCCCAGCTGGTGCTCGCCGCCTGCGAGAGTGAGTGGGGCCGGTGGGGCCAGTGGGGCCGGGCTGGGACCCAGCAGGGCACCTGAGGGCGTTGGCCTTCCCCACCTCACCATAACCACCCTGTCACCACCACCACCTCCTGGGGCACATGCAGACACATGTGCCTGCTCACACCCCCCTCACACACGATCGCGCACATGCATGCACGCACCTCCTCTGAGCAAGGACTCAGCCGGGACCGCGTGGCCATGGGCAGGGACACCACGGGTCTGGACCACGAGGTGCAGTTCGCTCTGTCACGTGCATGCAGTGGGTGTCCCCTCCCATCTCTGACACCAAGGGACAGGTATCTGGGAGCCAGAGCAGCCACAGGCTCTATGAGGTCCCTCCCAGCACCCCGAGTCCTCACCCACGGGGAGGGGTGCAGTGATCCATGCCCGGGGTCTGTGACGCATCAGTGCTGCTGATGCAGGGAGACCTGCTTCCGTCCCCCAGGGCAAGGTGGAGGGTTTGCAGGCCCCGAGCCCCAGCCCTGTGTCCCTCCCAGCTGGCCTGAGCCTGGGGAAGCGGCCTGGGGGGTGGGGGTGAAGGAGCATGGCAAGCAGGACCGTGCCCCACTCTGGGGCCCCGGGGACTCTGCCCCGAGACCCCTGCCCAGCCCCGCGCCTCCCGCAGGCCTGCTCACCAGCCACCAGCTGCCCGTCTTCTGCCAGCTCATCCTGAGGATCGGGAACTTCCTCAACTACGTGAGTCGGGGCTGCGCCAGCCTGCCTCATGCTGCCCTGGCACCCAGCCTGGGAGGCAGGAGACTCACACCCTGTCCCTCCCAGGGCAGCCACACAGGCGACGCTGATGGCTTCAAGATCAGCACGTTGCTGAAACTCACGGAGACCAAGTCCCAGCAGAACCGCGTGACGCTGCTGCACCACGTGCTGGAGGTGGGCTGCGCCGGGACGTATCCTCGGGGTGGAAGGGCGAGAGGGATGCGTTCGACGGGAGGGTGGGGGGTGGTCTCCCCATCCCAGGGCCCCGCCCGGGTCAGCAGCGTCAGAGCCCGAGCTGCGCCCCCGGCCTCCCGGCGTGCCTCCCCATGGCGCAGCACTCTCTCACCTGTGCGAGCCTCCCCCCTCCCAGGACACCCGCCCCCGGTGCAGGGCAGCCCCTGACAGGAGCAGAAACGGCACAAAATCACAGCCAGGCCCCAAGTGCTGAGGGTTTCTGGACCTTCATTGCTAAGGGCTGGAGCGAAGGGGCTGGGGGCGGGGGCAGCCCCAGGTCCAGGCTGCGGCCGCAGCGGATCCCACTGGACATGTCCTGTTGCAGGAAGTGGAGAGGAGCCACCCAGACCTCCTGCAACTGCCCCAGGACCTGGACCAGCCCTCCCGAGCCGCGGGGTAGGCAGCTCCTGCCAGCGCCCCCTCGCCCCAGCCAGACCCCCGGCCTCTGCAGCGCACTGCCGGGCAGAATGCTGGCGCCCACTCTGGGACGGGACCATCTGCTACTGCTTGTCCTCTGTGACTTAGATGAGGAAACTGAGGCCTGTGGGCAGGGATGACCTGTCCAAGGTCATGTGGGGAGCTGATTTAACAGTTTCTTTATAAGGTTAAACCTTCACGACAGCCTGTGAGCATGGTCCTGCCTCCCCCACTGTGTAGACCAGGAAGCTGTGTCGCCTTCCTGGGCTCACAAGGGTGGGGACAGGCAGGCAGCCCATGCCACCACCTTCTCCCCTGCACCCACCCAGGGCCATGGCTCCAAGCACAGGCCCTTCCCAGGCTCCACCTGCCCCCGAAGGTTCCCTGGTCCAGGGGTCGCTGAGCCTCAGTGGGCACAGGGCAGGCGAACAGGACACGTGACCATCAGGGGTCCCTGTCCTGCCACTCAGGAAGGACGGAGGGCCCACCAGACCAAGCACTGACCACACCATGTGGCAGGCCTCAGGGTTCTGACCTGCTCTGGCCCCCACAGTGTGCAGGAGGCGCCTGGGCTTCCCCGGGGGGGTGTGCAGGTAGGGCCCCCATGTCCCCGTGTGGCTGGATGTCACCTGTCACCTGGCCCTGCCTGGCCCTCTGGTGCCTTTCAGGATCAACCTGGAAGTGATCCGCTCAGAGGCCAGCTCCAACCTGAAGAAGCTTCTGGAGACAGAGCATAAGGTGTCGGCCTCGGTGCCTGAGGTGCAGGAGCAGTACTCGGGGCGCCTCCAGGCAAGCAGGCAGGCGGGCAGCACGCTGCAGGGAGGGCAGGGAGGGGCATGCTATGGGGGGGGGCACACTGCGGGGGGGGCGGGCACGCTCCAGGCAAGCAGGCGGGCGGGCACGCTGCAAGGGGGCAGGCGGGCGGGCACGCTGCAAGGGGGCAGGGGGGCGGGCACGCTGCAAGGGGGCAGGGGGGCGGGCACGCTGCAAGGGGGCAGGTGTGGGGGCACGCTGCAGGGGGGCAGGCATGCTGCAGGGGGCAGGTGGGGGGCAGGCACGCTGTAGGCAGGCGGGCGAGAGTGTCCACCAGGCCCCACCCACCTGCCCCTGGGCCCCCGCTTCTGAGGAACTGGGGTCCACTGGGGCCCTCAGGGCCGGTGACTGTGCCATGTGCCCCCAGGCCAGCATCGAGGCCTCCCGGGCGCTGGACAAGCTCTTCGAGGACATCGAGCAGAAGCGGCGGGAGCTGGCCGACTACCTGTGTGAGGACGCCCAGCAGCTGTCCCTGGAGGACACCTTCAGCACCATGAAGACCTTCCGCGACCTCTTCATCCGAGCCCTGAAGGTGAGGGGCCCAGGGAGGGCACAGCCCGGAGGCACAGTGGGGTCCTGGGCGGAGCAGCGCAGTGGGCCGCCCGTGTTCTGCGGCCCCACCGCGTGCGGCCCGTGGAGCGTGCGGGCTGGTGCTGGGTGACCCACCCGGGCTCGCGTCGCAGGAGAACAAGGAGCGGAAGGACCAGGCGGCCAGGGCAGAGCGCAGGAAGCAGCAGCTGGCCGAGGAGGAGGCGCGGAGGCCTCGGGGCGAGGACGGGAAGCCAGGTGAGGCCCGGCCCGGCAGGCGGGGCAGCGGCAGGAGGCAGGCCCCCCTTCAGCCCCTCAGCACCCCCAGGCCTTCTGGGTGGTCTCCAGGCCCCCGTGGGCCCCTCTCTGAGGCTCCCTGGCTCCCCAGGCAGGAAGGGGCCCGGGAAGCAGGAGGAGGTGTGTGTCATCGACGCCCTGCTGGCCGACATCAGGAAGGGTTTCCAGCTTCGGAAGACGGCCCGGGGCCGCGCGGACGCCGACAAGGGCAGCAGGGCGGCCGTGGGGGACCCCCCAGGGGCCATGGAGTCTGGTGAGACCTTCGCCCACCTCCTCCTCTCCGCAGTTCCCTCCTTCCCCGCAGTGTGCCTCCCCCCAGGAAGTCCCCTGACCTCACGGGAACACCCGTCCTCCCCCTGGGCTGCCCCGCGGCACCTGAGATGGGGCGGCCAAGGGCACCGGCCTCCCCCCTCCATCTGTCCTCCGAGCGTCTCTGCTGGGACACGGGGCCCTGTGACGGCCACCAGCCCAGCCCCAGACTCCCGGAGAGACGGGGTTCCCAGGGCACAGAGGGCACCCGAGGTGGCACGGCCCTGGCGAGAGGCCCCTCTCCTGGGGTGCAGGCGGGTGGCCCTCCCATGCTGTGTACAGACCGTGGACGCTGAGGCCACGCCCCGCCCTGCGAAAGCCGCCCTTGGAGGCCCCTGCGGCTCTGAGAGCCCACAGAGCCGGGAGGCTCCGGGCAGGGGCTGTGCGGGGCCCGTGTAGCCGAGACGGGAGGCCCCGGGGTGGCTGGAGCCGGATGCCCGCCCTTCACCGACACTGCCTCCCCCCTCGAAGCGGCCAGCAGGGACCCTGCAGGAGACCCCAGGGGTGGCACCCGCCGCCCCACCTCTGGGCCAGGCCTTGATGCTGCAGCCACCAAGGAGCCCCCAGGCTGGGACCTTGTGGACGCCGTGACCCCCGGCCCGCAGCCCGCCCAGGAGCCGGCAGAGGAGGGTGGTCCCGGGCGCCTGGAGAGGCGTTCTTCCTGGTACGTGGACGCCAGCGACTTCCTCACCCCGGAGGACGCCCAGTGTCCGCAGCCCTCGCAGGGGGCCTGGCCAGTGACTCTGGGCGACGCTCGGGCCCTGCAGCCCCTCAAGTTCTCCAGCGAAAAGCCCCCTGGGGCCCCAAGTTCCAGCCAGGACGCCGAGGGCCCCGCGTCCTCGGGGGACATCCGCCGGGCCGAGGCCGACAGCACGAGCCAGGAGGATGCAGCTGTCCTGGGCCGCAGCGCCGGCCTCCCGGCTGCAGGCCTCGGTGGGGACGCGGACGAGGAGGACCCGGCCCCGGAGTCCGCACTGGACACCTCCCTGGACAGGTCCTTCTCTGAGGACGCAGTGACTGACTCCTCGGGGTCTGGCACCCTCCCCAGGGCCCGCCGGGCCTCGAAGGGGCCGGGCCGGCGGAGGAAGAAGCGCGCGGCAAGGAGCCAGGAAGGTAACTCAGGCGCTGGGGGCAGCTGGGCACTTGGTCGGAGCTCGTCCTGTCCATGCCAGGGCCGTGGGCCTCTCCCCTTCCCCACAGGGCGCCCGGAAAAGAGGGAGGTTCCGGGGTGCAGCCGCAGGGCAGGAGGTGGCTGCTCTTCCCCAGGAGGGCAGCTGTGGGGTCGCCGATCTCCTTAGCAGGAATTGCTGCCTTCCCGCCCTCCGGCAGGGCGGGGGCGGGCACCACGGCAGAGGCTGTGCAGGGGTGGCAGGGCAGGGTGCAGCGTGGCGGGTGCCTGGCGCCAGGCCCTGGATGCGTGGCTGCGTTACCACCCAGAGGCCAGAGGACCGGGCAGGGAGACCCCGGTGCACTCGCCGGCCCCCACGCTCCGAGCTTAGGGCTGCTCTTGTGCGACGGGCTGTTGAGTGCGTTTATTTTGTTTGAAAGCAGAGGTTGCCCCCGAGTGTGATGATAGTAGTACAAAAAGGCTGTGTGCCATCCAGTGAGGTACGTATGCAGACGGCGCTCTGTGTGCACTAACGGCAGAGCAGGGCAGCGGGCCTGAGCTTGCCGCCCGGACCCCCGGCGCTAACCCTGGCTTCTCCCAGCCCGCCCGGGTGCATCGGGGCCCCTGTCCTGTGCTGTCGGTGGTGGGCTCCTTCCCCTCTGTCCCCCCTCTCGGGGCCAAGGCCGGCTACCTGGTGTCCGCACCCCGCTGCCGCGGGACAGGACGCAACCTCAGGGCTGGCTCCGGCACACAGGCCCATGGTCGGAGCTGAGCTGGCCCCTTCCGGGGACGGCTCCAGGCTGCCCAGGCCAGGGGTGGGGCGCGGGGGAGCTCAGCTCCCTGCAGGACAGGCCGAGGTTGTTCCTGCCCTGACTGGGTTTCCCTGACCCTGGAGGCATCTCCACTGAGTCCTTTCATTTCCTGGGCTGGCCAGGCGGGTCCCCAGGAGGTCTTTGAAGAGACAGGGACAGTCCCAAGGGCAGGCACTGCCAGGGACCAGCAGCAACTCTCTAAGGCATGGGGGTATGGGTAGGCCCCTGCCCTCTTCCCCCTCCTCCCCCTCCCCCTCCCTCCTCCCTCTCCTCCCTCCCTCCCCCTCCTCCCTTCCCTCCCATCCTCCTCCCCACTCCTCCTCCTCCTCTCCTCTCCGTCCCTCCTCCTCCTCTCCCTCCTTTCCTCCTCCTCCCTCCTCCTCTTCCTCCCCTCCTCCCCTCTTCTTCTCCTCTCTCCACCTCCTCCTCCTCCTCCTCTTCTTCTCCATCCTCTCCTTCTCCTTCATCCTCCTATCCTCCTCGTCCTTCCTCTGCCTCCTTCTCTCCATCCTCCTAAGGCCTGGGAGACCTGCGGAAGGGGTCTTTAGATGCAGATTCCTGCCGGTATGTGCCGCCCTGGGCCAACTGGGACCCCCACCCATGGGCAGGACAGCCGGGGCCAGAGCGGCTGGTGTACAGCCAGGCAGACTGGCCAGTGCCCACACTGTGCTGGGTGCGGGGACCGAGGGCCAGCCTGGCGTGGGGTCTCGGAGGCTGGGCGGGGTGGAGGCGGGGGCGGGGCAGAGAAGCGAGGGTGCAGACGGAGGCCGCTGGGCCCTCAGAGGCCAGGGCAGTGGTGATGTCGGGCGTCCCTGTCCCCACGGTTCCTCCTCACTGTTGGCGTGGAGCCCTCCCCTTGGTCCAGCGCCTGCTTCCGGCGTTTTCCGCGCTTGGCTGTCTGGAGGAAACACCAGCATGTTTTTCAGAAAGGCCCCGCCTCTCCCATAGGTGCTGGGACTTGGACCTCGGCCTGGCCAGGCTGGGGGTCTGCGGGCTGCGTCGCCAGCCCGAGTTGGGCCTGTGCGCAACCCTGGGTGCCCTCGTGGTCAGCTGTGCCTGGCGGACCCCTGCCCTGCCCATGTCCCATCCTTTCTCCCACCTTCACGTTTAGGAGAACTTCAACCTGGCAGGAAATTTGCAGAGAGATCAGAACAAACACCACCTTGTCCCCAAAATTGCAAAAATTTGTAAAAAATACCAAAATTGTTGACATCTTGCTACATTGCTTCCCTACCGGAGCGACTGGGCAGGAGCTGTGGACACCAGGACACCTGGGCCCCCAAGTCCCCACGACACCTGTTCTACGAGCCCCAGTTGGCTGGTGCTCAGCCCACGCCCTGGGCACCTGCCCGGGTGTCCCTGTAATGCCGCTCAGGGTCATCGCTTTGGGTTCTTTGGAAAGAGATCCTGTCCGGAATCACGGGTTGTGTTTGGCTGTCATATCTCTTCGCTCTCGTTTGCTGTAGAACTTTCCAGCTCCTCTTTGTCTTGTGCTACAGTGACTTTCTGGAAGGCATTTGGGGCTGCCTGAGTGCCTCCCCGAACCCAGCGGGTCCACACTGGGCCTGGGGCAGGAACACATCGCGGGAGGGGCTTGGCCGCCTGTCTGTCCTCGGTTCCCGTCCCTGCTGCTTAGTGGCAGAGGCGGTGGTCACAGCAGACCTGTCCCTGCACAAGCTCCCTGTGGCCTTGTAGCTCCTGAGCCGCCGGGTGGCCCCGGGCCAGGCCCTCCCTCTACCCAGCACCGTTCTGCGACAGTGGCTCCTCGTTTGAGCTTTCCCTTCTCCGTTTGTTTTTTAAGTTGTGCGAGGTTTTTTTGCTTTTTTTTTTTTTTTTTTTTTTTTGAGACAGAGTCTCACTCTGTTGCCTGGGCTAGAGTGCCGTGGTGTCACCCTAGCTCACAGCACCCTCACACTCCTAGGCTCAAGCAATCCTCCTTCCTCAGCCTCCCGAGTAGCTGGGACAACAGGCATGCGCCACCATGCCCGGATAATTTTTCTTATTTTTAGTAGAGACGGGGTCTCACTCTTGCTCAGGCTGGTCTGGAACTCCTGACCTCTGCCATCCTCCTGCCTCGGCCTCCCAGAGTGCTAGGATCACAGGCGTGAGCCACCGCGCCCAGCCCCTGTGCAAGTTTTGAATGTCCCTCTCTGTCGCACATTTGGGCGGGAACCAGGGGGGCCCATCACGGGCTCCTGTGCCCCTTGATCGGTGTTCCCCTGTCCCCTGAGCGCAGCACCCTGCTCCCTGCTCTCCTGCCCCAGCCCCAGCCCTGGCTCTGGCGGTCCCCTGGCTCCCGCATGGGGAGTGGTGCTGAAACCCCTCTCTGGGAGATCGTTGACAGCGTGTGCTTCGTCTTGCTCAAGCAGTGGCTCTCAAACCGGAGCCTGCCCCGGTCCCACGGAGGGGAGGGGGTCTGGGGACGCCGCCTGGCACCAGGTGGCCAAGTGAGGGCCTGGGCCAGAGAGCTGGGGGTGTTTGGGCCGGGGGCCTGCAGGGCCAATCGAGGAGGCCTTCCAGGTGGTGGGGGCTGTGGGGGCAGGGCCTGGTACCCCCGGCACCCAGCTGGAGAAAGGACAGGCAGCTGGAGTTGGTGGCATGAGGGCGGGGAGGTGACGGGGAGTACAGCGTGTCTGGGATGTGGGGAGATGGGCCGCAGCCTCCCCATCTCAGCAGGGAAGAGACAGCCGTGCTGAGACCGGGCCTGACCGGGAGCCGGCTTGCCACAGCCATCGGCACCTTCCACCTGGATGGGTCCTGCTGCTCCAGAGACGGGGCCTGGGGTCAGAGTGGGCCTGGGATGCACAGCACAGCGCACTGGGCAGTGGTGTTGAGGGGTGCCGGGCCGTGGAGACCCTGGAGCAGGCACCTGGCACTGTCCCAGCAAGGCTGCACCTGACGCTGTCCCCTTCCCTCCTCTGCAGGCCTCAGGCCCAAGCCCAAAGCCAAGTGACAGAGCCCGCAGTGGCCCGGGCGCAGCAGCGGCTGCCGGACGTGCTGCTGGGCAAGGCTTTCCCGGTGGCCGGGCTGGGACTGGGCCCTGCGAAACCACAACTCCGTGCCTTACCCGGCCAGGGCCCTCCCGGAGCCTTCCGGGGTGTTGTGGCCAGGACCCCGACAGGCACCGACGCCCGGCGCCCTCCTGACTGCCTGCACGCACCCAGCGTCCCGCCTGCTCCCCCAGTGCGACTGACCGAACACCCACGCGTGGCCTGCTCCACGGCCTGCCGGGCGGGGCTGTGCCGGGCGGCACCTGCCAGCCTGCAGCCCCCGCCCCGCACTCCGCCGCCGTCGCTGCCCGGCTGCTTTAACCGAAATGCAAGTCTTCCAGTCTTCACTGCTCTGTGGCGGCTGAGCTGGGGACCAGCGTTGGGGACCACACCCCAGGGTAGAGGCAGGTGAGGCCCATTCCTGTGGAGCCCACCCCACCGTCCCACGGTGTCCAGCCCCTAAGCATGGGGAGGGTGTGCCCCACCCCCAGCCAGGGCCCGGCCAGGGGACCAGAAGTGCCGGCCGGAGGGGCTGCCGGGTGACACAGCAGCTGGGCCTCTCCTGCTCACCGTCCACCAGGAGGGCAGCCTGCCGGGGCCCCTGCCACCAGGGGTGGGCTGCAGAGGCTGGTGGCTGGATGTGTGACCAATAAAGAGCAAACCTGGCCCAGCTAGTGACTGTTGTGTTCAGAGCCTGCAGGGGTGGGTGGCGGGTGGATGGAGGGACAAACAGAGGACAGCTGGACGGGCGGGTGGGCCGTGAGCGGTGGTCAGCTGCCCTGTGGGAGTGGAGTCAGGGTGGCACCCCAGCTGCCCACGTCCTGCCCCCTGTCCACGCCCCGCCCAGCCCCCCACCCAGTGCGACTGGATCCTCCTGGCCCCACACAGGGCGTCTCGGCCACCAGAGGGGGGCCCTGAGGACAGGTGCCTGGGTCTCCCTCCACGCTTGCCCTTGTGCCTGGCACGGTGGTGGATGGGGGAGGGGGTACAGTGAGTGCAAAACAAATACCTGCTGAATTAAATTTTTCAAAAACTGTAAGTGGTTTCTGGGCTGTAGCCTTTCTGTCGCCGCGATCAGCATTTCATGGAGCCAGAGCAAGTGTCGACCCAGGGAGCTTCCTAGTGACGGAAGGGCAGGGGTGACTGGGGAACAAGGGCCTCGCAGCAGGAGTGGGGACAGGAGACTCCACCTGCACCCCCCGCCCACCTCTGGGCCCCTTGTCCCCAGCCTGGGGGGCGCCCAGCGCCTCCCAGCCCCCCTGACCACAGTGTGAAGGGGGCGGGGCGGGAGCTGGGCGAGGGTGAGGGGTCAGCACAGGCTTCGCTAGCCCAGAAATCCCACTTGCCCTTAAAGGGGTGCAAAGGTCCACCAGGTTCGCTCGTGACCGGCTCATTCAGCAGCCTGTGCCCAGGCGCCCTTCCCTGCCAGGGCAGCTCCCAAGGGGAGGCCTGCGTGTGGCAGCGAGAAGCCAGCGCTGGGGCAGCTGGAGCAGGCAGACCCGGTGGTGAGCCGTGAGTGGTGAGCGGTGAGCGGTGAGCAGACCCGGCCACTGCAGGCGGGGTGTGGCTCTAGCGGCGCGATCTCCGTACCGTCCAGCTCCCCCGTGGCCAGCATGTAGTGCGGGGACTCTTGTTTCTCCGCAAATCCACAAGGTTGTGCAACCCTCGCCTCGACCCAGCGTTAGAATCCTTCCGTCACCCCAAAGAGCTCCCTGACACCATTAGCGCTCACTCCCCAGCCCAGCGCCCACTGCCCCGGCCCTGGCCCTGTCCCCGTGGGTCTGCCTGTCCTGGCAACGTCGCGCTGTAGAATCGCACAGCATGTTTCCTTCTGTGTCGGCTCTTTCACCTAGCGTGTTCCCGAGATTCCTCCGTGCTGCGGGCTGAGTCAGTGTCCGCCTTGTGGGTGACACGTCCCGCGGCGTGGACAGACCCCCTCCGTTCATCTGGCGGTGGACACTCGGGCGCCCCCAGCTCGGGGCTTGTGTGATGACGCTGCTGGGAACGTGGACAGGCTAGTCTGTGTGGACGAGCGTTTCCACTCCTCCGGGGAACATTCCTAGCAGGGGAAGGACTGGGTCACAGGCTAAGTTTAAGGTTAACTTTTTAAGAAACTCCCAATGTTTTCCAAAGCGGCTGCACCAGGTTTCCTGCCTGCCGGGGCACTGCTTTTGTTGCTCTCTTAAGTTAAATAGCTCAATTCCTCCTCTTCCCTCCCCCACAAATCTTCAAGTAAAATGAAGCCTCGGAGTGGTGGGCAGGGTCACACCTGCCACCTGCCACCTGCCACCTGCCGCTGCCCCTCCTGCCTGGAGAGGTGGGAGCGGGAAGCCGGGTGAGAAGAGGGGCTGCCTGGCCTAGGGCCTTGTTCTTTCTCACCGCTGGGGTGCGGGGGGAGTCAGCCTGGTGGGTTACGACCAGCTAAGAAGCCAGAGTGGACACCCCGACGCTTCCTGGGTGTGGACATGTATGCAGGTGTCTGTGGGTGTCTGCGTGACCTGGGCCACCAGGTATGACGTGGTCCCACAGTGAGGTGTGGCCTCCAAAGAGTGGAAACCACAGGTTTATACAAGTGGCTGAGCCCGTGTACCTCGGGGGCCTTTGGGGCCTGCGAAGCTTTGTGGAGACCATGTCCCCAGTCACACGGGGTAGACTCCGGGTGCGGTAGGTCCGCCACGCTGCCCACCACCTGGTGACAGGCCTGCTGCAGTGTGGGGCGGGCTGGGGGTGTGCTAATCTGGGCTGGGCCGTGTGACCCGCGGGGCCCCAGCTGCAGGGCCTGGACAGGGCTGTTTTTAGCAAAGCCCTGACTCCCTGCCCCCACACGGGCCCGCAGCTATTTATAATCCGGGGCCTGGGGGAGTCCGTGCCCAGCCAGCGGCCACTGGCCAGCGCTTGGCTCTGCACAGCCTGTCCGAACCCCCTTGATGAGGTGGCCCACCATGTCCCCCGGTTCCCTGGAGCCTCAGTCTCACACCTGCTGGCCCAGAGCCCTGAATCTCCTTGGGAAGGGGTCAGAGTCCATGCCCCCTTCTGCGTCATGGAAACTGCCCCAGGGGACACGGGAAGCACCCCCTTGTCTGACGTGACTCCTCCGTGGCTCCTGGTGGACATTTGGAATGTTCAGATCCTCTCCTCTGGAACAAACCTGTAACCCTTTTGGTTTCTCCTGCTGCAATCCACCCCTTCCTCACCTACGCAGCCAGCTGCTGTGCCCCAGATCACCCCGAGACCCCCAGCCCCGCCCGGCCACAGCCCCCTCCACGTCCAGTCCCGAGGCTGCAGCCCGTTCTCCACCCAGGCCCTGCTCCAGCCGCTTCCCGCTGGCGGCCAGGTGTGCCCGCTCTGCACCCCTAGACAGCTGTCACCTCTACGGTGGCACCAGGAAGGGATAAAGACTGCATCTCTCTCCTGGGGACAGTGGTCGCACTACTGGAGGCGGCCCTAACTGCTGTGGCCCACATTGCAGCATTTCCCCACAGCAGTGCTGATGGAGAGGAGGGCTCAGCGTCCCCGTGTGAGAGAAGAGGGCACTGGGCATGGAGCACAGGCCAGGCTGCTCTCGGCCTCAGAGGGCTGGTGGTGAACAGTCTCCCACCCAGGGCAGGCCGGGGAGGAGGAGTGGGTGGTGCGGGGGAAGGGCGAACAGTCCCTGGCTGCAAGCTGGCATGGCTAATTGTGAGTGATCTTTGCAGGGTCAAGCCCAGGGTCCACTCCCTCCAGTGGGGAGTGTGGGCACTGTCCTGTCTCCCTGGGTTCCTTGTCACAGGCCTGGGAGCTGCCCCGGGAGCCCAAGGAGCCTGGTGGCACTCTGAGCCCCGACCACAGGTCAGCCAGCCAGAGCCCCTGGGGAGGGAAGGAGGGGCACCCCCTCCAGCCCTGGGGTGAAAGCCTGGCAGGCTCTCCTGCCCCCAGGGCCCATCCCCAGTCCTGGGCAGGGGGTGAGGGGCAGGTGGGGCAGAGGCCCCAGCTGGGGACCGGAGGACGGCAGACCACTGCTCTCTGGGCCCTGTCCCTCCACAAGCTGGGACAGGAAGGTGGACTGGTGTGGGGCCTTGTAGACGCGAGGACCCTGTGGTGGCTGATGCCCGTCCCAGAGGTTCCTCCCCCTCTGGCCAGTGACCTCTACGGCTGGAGCGCAGCCCGGCTCTGTCGTCTGCCTGCTCCCTCCCGCCAGGCCCTGGCCACACCCGGCCTGGACGCAGGCGGGGCTCTGGGCGTGGGTAAGCGGGCCGGGGCAAAGGAGTGGGTCACCAGGGAGGCCTTGTCACCAGGGAGGCCACCAGGGACCCCAGAGCCGCGGGGGGCCCTGCTGAGCAGGTGTGCCTGAGCATGCGGACCCTCAGGCGGGGCGCACCACGCAGCGCCCTTTTGTGGACCTTATGCAACCGTTCAAGGACTACTCCGCGGTTCCCGACCCTGAAGGCCCTGCACGGCGGGGTTGGGTCGCGGTGCACAGGCCCTGGCCCTGCCCCTACCCCGGCGGACTTGCGGGAACCCGCCCCCCAGCGTACTCGCGGGAGCCTTCGGGCCATCGGCCTGCCCCGCCCTTTGTCCCCGCCCCCCCGCCGCTCCCGAAGAGGCCACGCCCCAACTCGGCTCCCGGCGGCGGCCAGCGGGGCGGGCAATGGCCGGCCAGAGGTCACCAGCGCGTCCCGGCGCCCGCCCGGGCCCGCCCCTGCTCCTGCCCCCGCCCCGGTCGGCCCCATTTAAGGGTGCGGCCCGCGGGCTCTCGGGCGGCCTGCGCGGGACAGCCCAGCCAGCATGTCAGGGACCCGAGCCTCCAACGACCGGCCCCCCGGCGCGGGCGGCGTCAAGCGGGGGCGGCTGCAGCAGGAGGCGGCGGCGACCGGCTCCCGCGTGACCGTGGTGCTGGGCGCGCAGTGGGGGGACGAGGGCAAAGGCAAGGTGGTGGACCTGCTGGCCACGGACGCCGACATCATCAGCCGCTGCCAGGTGCGGGCGGGCCCGGGTCCCTCCCCCACCCGCTCAGCGAGCCCCCTCCCCCACCCAACCGGACCCTGTCCTCCTGCGCCCTGACGAGGTCATGCCACTTGGACTCCTTTCCCTCCCCAGCACCTCTCCTGGGGCCACCCCACACACGCACTCATGCACGCCACTCACACCACCCCCCTGAACCCTCCCTCCACCTGCCACCCCCACTCCCCTAGGGCAGCCCGCCAGGGGCAGAGCTAT